TGGTTGAACTAGATTTTTATGAGATAAGGCAGAAATTAAGTCAAATGGGGACTTATAGTTAATTGGGAACTCTCTTAATTCATTCTATAAATACCCGTACTGATTAAAGGTAAAGAATAGGAAACATAACACAAAAAATAGGGAAAACAAAAAGCAAAAATGGGCAAAAAATGTTTAAAAAGAGCTATAGGAATCCTAGGATTGTTAGTAATTTTTTTCAAATTTTTGGCTTTTTTTTTTGGAAATTTTCTAAAAAATTTTCAAACTTCGATGAATTTTCAATGCCTGTTGAATTTTTTGATGAATTTTTCAATGACGGTTGACTTTTTTGGCAAGTTTCCCTGAATCCAACCAAGATTTCAGCTTCGGTTGAATTTTTCGATAAATTTTCGACGAACCAACCCAGATTTTAGTAACTTTTTTTAGAATCTGATGAATATTCAATCGGAGTTCATTAGTTTCTAAAAAGAACGAAGAGGAAAGAAAAGAAAGAGAGAGAGGGGAAGAGGAGATCTGAGTAAAAAGAAAGGATTCGACCTTTTATACCAGCTCTAAAATGACGTCGTTTTGACATTTTAATTCAACCCAAGATCCACGCGTTTTACCATTGGGTGACCCAACTCGAGTGCTTGACCCGCTTCAACCGTCATCCCTGCCTTCGGCTCCCAACCGAGCCGAGCCACAAACTTAACCCCAAGCTGCGCTTTCTAATCGTTTCCTGTGTTGTAGCAGAGTCGATCTAGTCGAGGCATTCTTTGGTTTTTATTTATTTATTTTATTTAATATTTTTCTTAGTATTTTTTTATTTTTAGTATTTTTTTATTAAATTTAGGAAAAAAATAAAATAAAAAAATAAAAATTTTGGAAATAAATAATAATTATCCAATGATGGAATTTATAAAAATTTCAAATGGTAAACTTCTATAAAATTTTTAGGTGAGGAATTTTATCTAAATTTATCCCAAATTATGAAATAATTTAGATAAAGTTTCAATAACAATAATTAATATTTATTTTCAAACCAAAAAAATTAAAAATATAAAAAACATAAAAATATAAAAATTTTTGGAATTAAATACAAATTATCCAATGATGAGAATCTTAAAATTTTCAAATGGTAAATTTCTAAGAAATCTCTAGGTGAGAAATTTTCTTTAAATTTGACCCAAATAGTGAAATAATTTAGATGAAATTTCAATAAAAATATTTATCATATTATTTTCTTTTCAAGAAAAAAGAAAAGAAAAGAATTTATAAATAGACCCAAATTATGAAAATTTTAGAAATTCAAAAAGAGAAAATATTTTTAATTTGGCCCAAATGGTGGAATAATTATATATATTTTCAACAAAAAAATAAAATTAACAAAAATTTTTCTGACAACGGAGCCTCTTCAAAATATTAAATGAGATTCTTGAATACTTTTGAGGTGAGAAAATATTTTTAAGAGTTCTACCAGATTGATGGAGAATCTTAAAAATTATTTCTAATATTTACACATATAAACTTAGAACCATTAGAACTGAGACCCTAGGATAAATTTAAAATAAAATGGTACCATCTTTTAGATAGGTATGTGGGAGTGTTATAATTTTTCTCACATGTAATCGAACTCGAACCCTGTTTTGATTAGTAGACCCGAACCTATTATTTTAAAAAATCTTAGTTAAGCTAGAGTTTTTTAAAAGAATATATTCCTTAGGTGACCAATCACACATAGTAAAAAAAGATTTGTGGTAACTTCATTCATTTGTTAAGTCTAACTATAGATTTACAGATCTATATGTTATGACAATGAGAGAAAGTGAGATCCCAACAGAAGTCTTGGGATGATTGAGTTGAGGGTGACAATGTTGTTTGATGATTGTATCTATTTTTCTAAGGGAAAAAAAAAGGTTGAGATGCGTAAACCTTGGTGCAGAACGCTTATTGTCAAGCTTCTGGGAAAGGATTTGGGCTTTAATACTTTTTTTGCACGAATCAAACAGCTTTGGCAACTAGAAGGAAGATATAAGGTGGTAGATTTGGGACATGATTATTTTCGTGGTTCATAGGTAGGAATGGCAACGGGTTAGGGTGAGTTTTTGTTTGTCTCAAATTTAATTCGATTTTATATTCATAGTGTGATTTTAATCCAATAATTTTTTTATTTTATATATTCGAATATGATCCGATCCGATATTGTATAAAAACATACATAATTATACTTGAAATTAATAAAATATTATTTTTTAAAATATAAAATATTATTTTTAATGTAAATATAAAATTAAATAAATATAAAATATATAATTAAATAATTAATTAAAAAATAATTTATATATATACTGAGTTGGATCGAGACGAATTTATTTAAAATCCGAATCCAAATTGATCGAAAATCTATTAAAAAATTATATAAATTAAATGGAAATTCGTCGAAAATGTATTAGATTGTCGTCCTTATCATTATGTCACATTTCTCAATGGACACTTAATTTTAACCCTGTTTGGGACAAAATTGATGACATCAAAACATATAGAAACACAAAGGAATTAAGCAATTCATAGGCGTTTTTGCAAGATTGTGCATTGAGGTGGACCTTACTCAGCCATTAGTGTCGAAGATGGTGGTCGTGTAAGAACCAAATTTTACATTCTAATTCGGAATTCAATACTTTGAATTTGTCCCGTCCAAAAGCTCATTTGGATTCGGAACCAGATGTTTTCATGGTATAAAATGAAAGCAATTTTTAATCATTTGGGAGAGCTAGTATTATTATTCTTGGTCGGTTAATCCATTAATTTAGCGACGATTAGGGAAAAGATGCTTCATCTTTTGACAAGCATAAACCATCCACACCTAATATCTACTTTAACAACAGATTCCTATCCTAGGTCTAGATCGTATCTTTCATCAATTTTATTGGTAAAATTCCCTCTTTATTCCCCTTCTTTTTGCTAATATGAAATTTATCTTAAGACTCAATTTCAATCACAAATCTTTGGATCGATTGAATTGGACCTAATGATCTCAAAGATAATTTATAAGAGATCAACTTTATAAGAGAACATCATATTGATATTTAATGAAAATATATACAAAACAAACACAATTAAAAAATATCAAAACTTGAATTTTGAGATACGTTCTAATATAATAAAAAGATAAAATAATTAAAAAGAAAAAATAAATGTACAAAAGGATTGTATGTCTTCGTGAAAGTTATTTTATCTTTATGTATAAAATATAAAAATTATCATAATATTTTTAATGTTATTTTTAATTAAAAAATTAACATGAAGACAAGACATTTAATATAGTTACAATTTGAGATTTTAATTTAAAAAGTATCATGGCCCGTTTTTTTTTTTTTTTGGGAGGGAGGGGGGGGGATAATTTAAAATAATAAAGAGATGACCAAGAATGGCTTGGGTATTTAGTATTAAAAAAAGGAACAACTTCAAGAAGTAGATCGAACTTTTTATTTTAAAATAAATATTTTTGTTATTATTACACTATTTTTTAACTTTGAATTTAAATAAAAGTTCTTAACATATAATTAAAGAATCAATGGAATTTTTTTTATACAATAAAATAATAGGTTAGACCTGGATGCACCTAGTCTTAAGCTTTAAAAACTGTCAAAGCCTGCTGGTAGCGGGCCAACATTACAAACGCTGGCGTGCTGGCCCAGCCCATTGAAAAGCTTTATACCAAACTTTTCAACGTCCAACCTTAGGTACTTTGTCCATATATATATATATATATAATGCAAAGATTAATTTATACTAATACAAAATTAAAAATTTTTATATTTTTATACTTGATGTAAATTAATTTTTTCTTATAGATATCTTGTTGAAAGTCACCGCCACTTGTCCTGTTGGTATTTTGAATTGTATCTTATGTATTTTTTTTTTTCATATTTTGGAGATTGAAAATTTGAATTATTTTTTTAATAAAAAAATTATTTATATTCGAAGTCAAATCAAATGATTAAATATAACATTATTATTACATTTTTTCTAATAATGAGATTGAGAATTCAAATCCAATTTTTTAAAAGGCAAAACATATAATTACTATCAAATCATACTCTTGTGTGCCATACCTTTTATAAAGTTCAAACCTATGGAGTTAGAAGAGATAAGGGGTAAAGTTTGTTGGTACATAACCAGCATTATTATACCTATAATCCACAAGAAAGTGGTGGCCATAAAGTTAAAAAGTTTGACTACAAAGATATTGTTTGTAATTTTTTTAAAAGTAAAAAAAAAAAAAAAAGACTTCTGAGTTGACATTAATGGCACTAATAAATCTATAATCCAAAATCAGTAGATAATTACTCCCTTTAATTAAAGTATAAATACTCTTTGCTGTCACCCCATCTAAAGTTGAAGCATTGTAATTTATACCCAAGAATTTGCTTAGAAAGTGGAAGAGACTCAAAACAAAATTTGAGGTAATTAGATAAATTTGTTTTTTTTTTTTTTTTAATTTGAAAAATGGGTAGGCAACAAAGATGCTTTTTTTTTTTTTTTTAAATGTTGACGGATTGATTAGAAAGAATTATAATTTAAAATATGATACGAAAAAATATAAAATAATTTACTTAAAATTTTAATAAAAATAAAAAAATATATTTTTATTTTTAGTGTTAATAAAATTTATGATAAATAAATTTTTTATAAAATATAATAATATTATTATAATATAAAAGATTATGACACGTGGGATTTAACACAAATCCCCTACTGCCGAACCACTCTGTTAATTTTCAATAAGAGCAAACTTTAGTTTCTACTAACGCCAATCCCAGCCAATTCTTTGGCCTTCTATAAATACTCTGTTTCCGCACTCTTCTCTCACTCACACAAAGTAAAAAACCCTTCCCCGTTTCTGTGTTCTTCAATCAATCCAAAATTCGATTTCCTTAAAAGCATTTTTTTTCTCACCATTGATTTTCTTTGCCTGCCCTATTTTTTTCTTCGGCAACAATTTCTTGATCGAAAATTTCTGGTTTCAAGTCTTCCCCTTTTATTAAAGCTCTCCCTCCATTAATCAGAATCGTTTCTTAGAACTTTTGGTTAATAAAAACTTCAGTTTTTCTTTTGTTAACCAACAATGCGTTCCTAATAATTTGTTTATTTGGCTCTGCATGTGTGTTTTTTTTTTTTCACTTCAAAGATTGGGTTTTGCCTTTTACTTCCATAAAAGTTTCAATCCGATTTGGCTGAGATTCAGTCTTTCGAGAAAGAAGATTAATTGAGATTCTTGGTATAGGGAGCGTGGATGTTGTAATGGAGACCAAGGGTGGCAAAAAGAAGTGTAATAATAGTAGTAGTAGCAGTGATTCTTTACAATACGAAGTTCCTCTCGGTTACAGCATTGAAGACATTCGTCCAAACGGTGACATCGAAAAGTTCCGATCTGCTGCTTACTCCAACGTATGTTTCCTTCATTCCCCTAAAAAAAAAAGCACTTTCTGTTCATCTTTCTTCGAGTTTTATAGCGTTTTTTGTCTTAACATTTTGTTTCTTTGAATGTTTTTGTTGTTGCAGTGCGTTAGAAAGCCATCCTGATGCTGCTCCTGCTAGATGGCAACCTCAGTTTTAGAGTAGCATTTTCTTCAGCCTTTTCCTTTTCGTTTTATTTATTTCTGAAATTGAACAAAAATTTCTGAGAATCAAAGACGGAATCAGCCGTTGAACAATACCAAATCGAAGAAAATAATTTCCAGTGATGAAACTCGACATGGACTCGCCACCGCCTCCTTCACCAATAGGCTTCGAAGGCTTCGAAAAACGCCTGGAAATCTCTTTTTTCGATCCACCCATCTTCAATGATCCAAATGGGCTGGGCCTCCGAGCCTTATCTAAAGCCCAACTCGACTCCATCCTTGAACCAGCTTGCTGCACCATAGTTTCTGAGCTCTCAAATTCCAACTTCGACTCTTACGTTCTCTCAGAGTCAAGCCTCTTCATTTACCCAAACAAAATCATCCTCAAAACATGCGGAACGACAAAGCTTCTCTTATCAATCCCCCGGATTCTCCAGCTCAGTAACTCGCTCTCTCTCACTGTGTCACGAGTCAACTACTCACGTGGTACCTTCATTTTCCCTGATCACCAACCTGCCCCTCACCGTAACTTCTCCGAGGAAGTTACCTCGTTAAACGAATGTTTCACTGATTTTATTACCGAGGCTTATATAGTCGGTGATCCGAAGTTTCCAACTCGGAGCTGGCACGTTTACTCGGCTGTAGCAAAATGTGCACCGCCGTTGACGGAAGATCAGAGGGGAGTTATCACTCTGGAATTGTGCATGACGGGGTTGGATAGACAAAAGGCAGGCGTTTTCTACAAAAAGCCGGGTAACGGGAATTGTTCGGCACGTAAAATGACGAAAATGTCCGGAATTGCTGACATCATTCCAAGTCACGTGATATGCGACTTCGAATTTGACCCGTGTGGGTATTCGATGAATGGGATCGAAGGGTTTGCTTACTCTACGGTGCACGTGACCCCCGAAGAGGGGTTCAGTTACGCAAGCTACGAGGCCATGGCGCTCGACACCGAGTCTGTTAAGCTGGAACCTCTAGTTAATAGGGTGCTGACATGTTTTTGTCCGAACGAGTTTTCTGTTGCGGTCACGTGCCACGGTGGGTTCTGTTTATGGCCCATGGAAGGTGCTGACGTGGAAGGATACACATGTCAGTATATGGTTAAGCAGGATCTGCCCGGTGGCGGGTGTGTGGTTTACGGGACTTATTCCTCCAAGGGCGAGAGGTGCACGGTGCGCTTCCCGGCTAAATTGACGATGCAGCAGCAGTGCTGGAAGGAGACGGTGGAGGAAGAGGAGGACGTGGCTACCGCAGTTGTTTGTCAGTGTATTTCGTCAGCCTGAGATGAGAAAGAGCCATATAAAGTTTGTCATTTTTGAGTTAATAAACATTATGGTGTCAAGTTTTGGCACCAGGGTAAGTTTGGCAGGTCGAGTCTTCTAATGTTTTTGGTAAATAAAAAAGGGTGACGACATAATCTTTCTTTGGGGTCCCAAACCTGTTGTCAATGTCATTTCCGTGCTTTCTCAGCAATAGAGTTGAATTCTATAATTGATTACTTGGACTGATATGAGTTGTAAGATTATTACAAATCAAATTTGATTTGTCATTCCTTTTCTACTATTGGAGAAACTAGAATGTTGTTTTCCCTGTTTCGTTTCACGTCGAGGAAAACACAAAATCCGGCGGTCATCATCAGAGTTAATGCAATCATTTTCTTTTCATGAATTTGGAATTAATGTAATCATGAATCATGTGTAATCATGAATCAGAGAGAAATGTGTTTTAACAGTGCAAAATTTTCACTTTTCTTGTTCACTCCCAATCTTGATATGTTCGGGTTTTTTCTAGGGACAGATTAATGGGTGACAGAGAGAATCAATAACTTTGAACGGGACTTTCTTTTCTTGTTCCAATATAAGCTAATGGGTTTCACAAGAGATCCGGCTTGGGCCGTCCATTTTCAATATGGAAAGTATTGTTGGGGTTCCAAATAGGCGCAATGGATTGGGCATGAAACCACTCTATTGCGCTGGTCTCCCACCATGCCTAATACTTGGAGGGCTCCTCCACTCAAAATCGACAAATGAAGCTTCCTAAATGGCTTAATCCATAAATCCACCACGACAAAATTGACAAACGAAATTTCTTACATTCACACATTTGTGGGTACATCGTCAAGAATCCTATTTCCTGAAACTAAATAAAGACCGAACATTTTAGCTTTAATAATCCCAGAGCTTAAAACCTGGTAACCCAAGTTTAGTGGGCCAAAATCCTGTTACTAACCAACCCAACTCACCCCCAGACACCCAAAGAGACCTGATCTATTGTTATCGGTTTCAAAGCAAAACCTCTGGCGTTGAAAAACAAACCGACACTTCAGTTCTCACGGTTTTGCCAATCTGAATCTTCCCTTCCCAATCTCCAGAAATGGGAGAAACAGGTGATTCCCTGTCTCTCTATCTTTCTCTCTGAGATCCCAAACAAATCTTAACTTAAGTTTAACTATTTTTTTGTTTTACTTTCACAGATTGTTTCTTTTCTGACAAATCAGCAGGCCACCGCGGCCTAGTTGGTTCAGCCGTAGTCCGAAAGTTCCAATCTTTAGGATTCACTAACCTCGTCGTACGCACCTACGCCGAGCTCGACCTCACCCGCCAATCCGACGTCGAATCCTTCTTAGCTACTGAAAAGCCACACTACGTCGTACTAGCAGCCGCAAAAGTAGGCGGAATCCACGCTAACAACACGTACCCAGCCGATTTCATTGCCATCAACCTCCAAATCCAAACCATTCTTCCTACCGCCACGGCGTTAAGAAAATCCTCTTCCTGGGATCCTCCTGTATTTATCCCAAATTTGCGCCCCAACCCATCCCGGAAAATGCGCTCTTATCGGCCCCCCTGGAGCCCACTAACGAATGGTATGCCGTTGCAAAGATCGCAGGGATCAAAATGTGCCAAGCTTACAGAATCCAATACGGCTTCGATGCAATTTCCGCCATGCCAACGAATCTGTACGGTCCCAACGATAATTTTCACCCCGAAAATTCCCACGTTTTGCCTGCTTTGATGCGAAGGTTTCATAAAGCCAAGGTGGAAGGAGCAAAAGAAGTTGTTGTTTGGGGGACTGGAAGTCCGTTAAGGGAATTTTTGCACGTTGATGATTTAGCTGATGCGGTTGTTTTCTTGATGAGAAATTACAGTGGATTGGAGCATGCGAATGTTGGTAGTGGAAAATAGGTTACTATTAAGGAATTAGCTGAGTTAGTTAAGGAAGTTGTTGGCTTTGAAGGGGAGCTTGTTTGGGATACTTCGAAGCCGGATGGGACTCCAAGGAAGCTCATGGATAGCTCCAAGCTCGCTTCATTGGGGTGGAGTTCCAAGGTTTCGTTGAAAGATGGGCTTATTGATACTTACAAGTGGTACTTAGAGAATGTTAAGCAATGATGCAGGTGATTTTGGTGGTTATTTCCCTTAAGAGTTTTTGGATTGGGGTATTTGTTTGTTGCTTTTGTGCTTGAAATTGTTGTCATTATTGTTATTTTTTGGTATGCCATACAATAATTTGAGGTTGATTGTGTACCAATTATGGCATCCAAGTTGAACATGAGGTATTCCTTTTGTTAAAGTATTGAGCTAGTTGGATCAAAGTTTCCATTGAGGAATTGACTAGAATTTATTCATTTTGAATTGGATAAGTTATGTTTGGTTATGGTTGTTTTTTAATGTACTTATCTTTGTTAGAAAGGGATCCATTGAAGAACTGTGAACTAGCGTTTCTGCCATTTTTGCTTGAGTTACGTAGTTTCTTGTTTTTGCTGTTGGTATTTATGTTACTGGGTTTACTGAAGAGCTAAATCTTTGTAGTCTTTGAAATGTGAGATTGATATTATACTAAGGTTGTAAGCTGCAAGGGGTCAGTTGAGCCCTTACATACTAGCATTATGCTGACATATGTTGACAAATGATGGTTGATAAAAACTGGCCTTTACCTAGTGCTTCATGTGAGGCAGCAACAAAACTGTTGTCCCCCTTCCACCCATTCACCCCCCCCCCCCCCCCCCAATCCAAAAAAATGGTGCTCGATACTTGCTTTGATAGATATTTGACATGGACTGATATAATGGTTGGCAAACTTGCTGATTGCTCTATCATATTTATTTTTGGTTGGTTCAAAATTTCGTGATTGATGGCTGCAATTTTCCTTTGTAAGTTGCAATTCGTTTGTTTTTCCTTTTCTTGTCACCTACGTATAGCTTCACTATTAATCTAAATGGGACACTTACAATTGGCGCTTTTGTTTCAATATTTTTGCCTGTTATCAGATTTTGTGCATCTTTCCTGCCATTCCGCTGTGTAATTCAAACAGTTGTTTAATTGCCTGACATAGGACGTGTTCCTTATTTGTATGCATGTACCATTTTACTTGGTGAATATCAGCACAGAGCATTCTGTGTGTAGAGATTTGCTTCCTCTGCATCCCCAAGTGCTTCTGATCTCAGACAGTGAGACGGGGATGTTCCTTCTGTTCACATTAAACTATGTGTACATATATAGTTAAATAGTAGCTGTAAAAAACTCACACTGTAAATTTAGCACATGGGATCCATTTCTCTTGTTGAAGCTCAACCTCGGGTTTTGTTTAGCTATTGGCACTGTTTCCCTCAGAATTTGTGTGATTGTGTTTCAATTTTTTTGGTTAGTCCTATTAATATTGTCAGGTAGATTTTTTTGAGGTGGGCCAGAGTTATCCCTTGCTATTTCTTCATCTCCTCTTTCACGCTCAAAGACAGGACAGTAGGGACAAGTTCTACTACCTGGTTATTACCACATTCAGGAAACACAGCATGTATTCAATTCTTGTCGTGATGAGATACAATGAAGGAAAGCTTCATTTCTGAGTTTTGATTATCCGAAGACTTGCCTTAAATCTGTTTGCTAAAAGGAGAATTCTGATGTGATTGCTCGCTTGTCTTCCATTTTGGTTTTAGAGGATGTGAAAGGAAATGAGAATAAACCAATTTGCTAATTTCCAGGGCCTAAAGGACATAACCTGTAATGGTAACGGGCAGCATTTTCACCACAACAACTGTCGGTGTGTTTCGTGGTGATGTTTGATGGAAACATTAAACACAAGAGAACGTGCCAAAAGTCAACCTACTCATAAATGAATAACGCCTATTTTTTATGGTCATTATCAAAAAAAATAACATTGAACCTTGCAGTACAGTAGGAAAACAAAAGAAGCCAAGCAAAGAAACCAGTAACATTTACCAAACGAAAATTTGGATGACTAAAAAATTTCAGTCTTAGTGCCTAAAATTTACAGAACGATCCAAGAATGAGGACGCGGTTACTTTCCGAACGGGTCACTTTAAATCAGGGTCCTCATCCGGATTTTCAGGACCTGCTAATACCGTTAGTGCCGTTTGTGCAAGCTGAAATGCACGTCATTGAATGAAAAATTGGCAAAAGTTACAGGAACTGAGTTCTACCCAGTTAAAAAGGTATTAAATGCTTCGGGGTTCCCTGAACATTAATTTCACTCATCTGTTAAATGTTTGATTACATCAGTTTCATGCAGTAACTTTAGGTTTCCAATATAGGGGTGGTGGCGGTATGGTTGAGCCAAAACCTCTAAGCACAGTATTTGAGCTGTAATGGAAAAGATGACTATATCAAGGAAAGGGATAGAAAAAAATTGAAAAAACTAGCAGAGCTCGTTTAGGCTAGCAATAAAAAACATAGGCATTCAAAATCTGGGGGTCCAGAGTCTGCAAATATTAATTTGAAATAGACATTTTACCGAGGTGCTCAGTACTGATTTTCGAAACTGGTGCATGACATGCTGAAATAAAGAAAATCTACAGAATAAATAGGGTCATAACTTATAAACCACTTTCTGAATATAGTTATTTTCTAGGTAAAATCTGTCTTCTGCTACTACCATAAGACCAAATCATAAAGTTGCCGACATGTGCCACCGCTGTTCTGATTCAGAAATCCAGACTCAAAGCCGAGTCGAAATTTCTATGGCTTTAAGATGAATACTCAACCAAAAGGATTTGTTGATTCTTTTCTATTTCACAACAATGTGGTCACTTATTTCCCATGAAATATACTTTTATAAAGCATATCAGTATGAAATATTTGGAAGGGAAACAATAATTATCTGTAAATAATAAAAAACATGAAAGAAGTATCATAATCAGGAAAACGAAGAGACATATTCTTAAAAATTTTGCTAGGATGGTGAAAATTTTTGCAAAAAAATGAACCCAACTGACACAATCAAATCAGTGAATCTCCATTCATAATTCATATTCTCCAACAGACAAACACATTTTCCCCATCTTAATTCTGACTCCACTTGATTAACTTTAGTGAACACCAAATTAGGCAACAAAAATCGGGGAATTCTCTCTTAGAAAATCCACTTTCAGGTAATTACACTGAAAAGGCTCCAACAAGATATCAACCATTCAAAAAATTATAATGACATTCTGAACTCTTTTGTTTTCTGATAAACAAGAGGAAAGGAGAGTCTACAGTCTACACTCTAGCACAAGCACAAACACAACCCAGTTTCACGTGCATACCAAAAACCAAAAAGGAAGCAAAACCCAAATTTGCAGTGCACAATGATAGGACACTTCCATGAACAACAAGCTCAACTTCGTCACTCATACCTCAACTTTCTTGTCTTTGCCTTTGTTTTTCTTGCCCTGGCAGTCGTTCCCTTTTATCATTTAAAGTATAGCCCACTTAGACTCTATTCCATGGTGCCCAACTCTAGGTGCTCTAGTCTAGACCAGCAGTTTCAGTGTTTGCAATTGTCACCCTCAACCTTC